ATTACTCTTGGTGCGAACCGAACAAGCCTTCACACACACACACACACACACACACACACACACACCTCATATAGAACAACAACAGAGCCAGGATCACCAGGAAGGACTGTTCTGCCGGTCTACTGCAAACCCTAACACACACTAACTGCACAGCGATGTGGACAAAGAGATAGTTTAACACCCTGATTATTGTAGCCATGACACAGGGGCAGTTTGTGAGCCCACGCCGACAATCGCGAGCAGCACTTCCGATGGGACAACTTAGAAGGTGATCGTTATTGGACTGAAACTTTGCGCGGAGAACTGATGCTTTTATAGTGGGGAACTTCCCCCCCACATGCCCCGATTAAAATAACGTGTTAATTAAATATACATTTTTACTTCACCGTGAGGGTCACACAGTCTGGCATCAAAGTGCATCTGGGCCTCAAGTGTCTTTTACAGTTAACAGCCGTGCCTGTGGGCTCGGAGCAGAGCGCTGCACGGCCCTTCGTGTGAATCTGACTTGTTATTCCTACTTGTCCTGCCGGTCGACGTTAGATTGTCTGAAAGTGACAGGCTGACGGTGTTTTACAGTGTTTTAATGTGGAGGACGTACAGTCCTTTCTCTCAGACTGTCTGGCTTTTGCATGCAGTGTTTTTAAACTCATTAAAACAAATGCCAAAAATAAAGTGTGAACTTGGTCCTCTTTGTCGCTCCACAGCCCAGGTACAGTGTAACATTTTTACATGGGTATAAGAGGCTGCAAGACTTTTTCCCCACGGTACATTCACAGACTGTAGATAAAAGATGGACGAGCTGGCTCTGTAGCTGCGTTCTCTGTAACCACCAGCAGGAGGCGACTTTAGTGATTATAAGATACTTGTATAAAAATCTACTGGAAAAACAACCTTTCAGCACTTTTCCAGATGGGTTTATAACTTCTGATCATAGTTTCACATCTTATTGAACACAAATTGATTTTTATTTGGTCAATTATTAGTCAGGATCTTAAAGCATTTATCTTTTTAACTGCGTTAGAAAAAAGCTGCTCTAGTTTCTAAATAGCAATAACTCCTACCGAGCAATCAGTGGTCACTGTCGACCTCTCTGACTTTTTATTAGCGCTGTTCACATGTGTAGAGCACATCTTTGCTAGACAAAGAAAAATTGAATGCTCCATAAGGGAATCACTTCCAGCCCAACTAAGATTTGGGAACATGAAGCTTAGGGTCAATTTTCAATAGCAAGTAGGTCTGTGAAGGTTCTCAGTCATCCAGGTCATTGTAGTCGAAGGAGCTTGCAAAGAAAAGCGTCTGGACTTCTTTAAGTTGCTTGAAGACGTTTCACCTCTCATCCGAGAAGCTTCTTCAGTTCTAAGGTCAAATGGTGGAGAGTCCCAGATATAAACCTATTGGGAGTATCCCCCCACAGAGGGACAAAAGGACCCCCTGATGATCCTCTAATCGTCCCAATCAACTCTGGCTGATTGGGACCCACACCCAGTTTCACACCTTGGCTCAGGCGATTAGAGGATCATCAGGGGGTCCTTTTGTCCCTCTGTGGGGGGATACTCCCACTAGGTTTTTATCTGGGACTCTCCACCATTTGACCTTAGAACTGAAGAAGCTTTTTGGATGAGAGGTGAAACGTCTTCAAGCAACTTAAAGAAGTCCAGACGCTTTTCTTTGCAAGCTCCTTCGACAATAGCAAGTAGGGCTGCCACAAACAATTATTTTGATAGTCACCGATTATTTGTGCGATTGGTCGACTAATCAGATCATGCATCCATCGGATGTAAAACGTACATCTTATTGCACCAGCACGCATCTGCTCTTATATAACTATCATTATCTTAAAGCTTGAAAAGTTTAAGGTATGTGCCAGCTAAAAATAAAGACAAGATGATAGTTTATTAAATTTTTAATGAAATTTGCAGACTGTCTCGGTGGAGTTTAATAAACTCAGCCGTCTGCTCCTTGCTATCTAAAATATAACAGGACACTAGTGTAAATTCTCTACCATCTCACTCTTCTGTTTAATCAGTTGTCTGCTTGACGTTTGTTCAGCTGTGTTAAAGCTATAATTTTAATCTCAGCCAAACCGATTTACTCAGGAAAAATAAAACACTGAAAAAGGCCAACCAATAACATTTTTAAGTTATCTAAGTAACTTATATATCATGTTTAACCTGAGTAGTGAAAGACCACGGGGGTTTGAAAATGATGTGCTGGGAGTTCACTGTTCTCGCCGGCTCTAGTGAGCCTTCACCTCCCGGTCATCTATCGAGCTGGTGGGTAACAGACGTCTCTGAAAATGTCAGAGCACTTTTGTAAATATGTGATATCTTGATAAATTGAGCAGATATTTGAAGTTTACACAGCTACATCCTCGCCGGAAAATATCTTAAAAGTTTATTTTGTGACCCAGAAAGACTAATATTAAAATTAAGTCGCTGCCGTCATTGTTAGAAACTGGAATTGCCTGGGCCGCGCTAAGAATTCTGGGATAGGTTTAGGGATGGGTACCAGTATCCGGTGCCATTATGGCACCAGTTCTGACATAAACGGTAGTAACCAGACCGAAAAGCAGCGCACATTTCGGTGCTTTATTTCGGTGCTTTGTTCCCTGAGATGTCATACACTTTGGATTCTAGCCAATCATTTTACCTTTCCAAGGATAGTAGGCGGGCCCAGGTACGTACGTTCTTTTACAGAAGAGCTACAGATTACAAATGCCCAAGGCGAAGGCTAGCTATACTTCACAGCAAAAGATGCAAACTCAGCAGCCTGCAACAAGTGCTTTAAGGTGATACTGTGCAAAGGAGGTAACACCTCAAATCCAATGAAACACTTGGCGACGCATAGCGTTTTTTTAAAAGCCGAAATGCACCGTATTTGATAGCTTGCTGCGAGCCCTCACACCATGCACATCTACTGCGGGTGTAGTGCCTGTTATCGGACCCGGAATTAGCAACATCCCCCAAGAGGAGAGTCCTGGCCCCTAGCCCTGCCATTGTAGCAGAAATGATGACGGACGATGATGGCAGCAGCAGCCGTTCTTCTCTGCGTGAGTAGCTTAATGTTGTTCGTGTGTAATTTACGTTGAGTAGGCTAACCACGTTATTACATTAACACATGTAAGGTGAACTAGCAAACACCGTCGTAGTTACATGCGGCTGTCTTCTTGTTTGATGGCAGATACTCCCTTCACCCTGGCCAAAAAGGCTAAAATGACCAAAGAAAAAGTGGAAAACAGCTAAACATGAGAGGTTTTTGGACAAAGTTTGTGTTTTTTCCATTGTTTAAGCACTGCTTCCAGCCAAGAGTGATATCATATATGCCCTATAGATGCAGAAAAGGCTAAACTTGTTATCTTTTTACAAAAAAACAGCTAAACATGAGAGGTTTGTGTTGTCCATTCTTTAAGCACCGGTTCGAGCACCGTTTAAGCACTGGCACCAGTACCAGTTTGGCACCGGTATCGGATAAAACCTAAACGATACCCATCCCTAGAAAGGTTGGGCGATGAAGGATACACCCGACCCATCCTTTAAATCTGGGGAAAAGGGAGGACGCATTTGTCGGCGTCGTCAAATTTGGACAGCCTTCATTGCGTCACTGTGATGCAATCGGCCTACAAATGCAGTCTCCAAAGGATGCGGCCCCTGAATTTGGATACAGCTACCATACCTGAGACTGCTTCTTCTTTGCCATTTAACAGCAGCTGGCATCCTTGTAGATGCATTGGTGCCATCTTCTGTTTCAGTCCGTTATTACACTCTTAACTCCTACTACTTATTCCTGCGTCTTTCAGGATCTTACAAAGCTTCAAATATTGCGTTGACTATTAAATTAGTCATCGACAATTTTGAGAGTCGATGTAATCATAACTAGTCGACTAATCGTGGCAGCCCTAATAGCACGTAAACCAAACTACGCAGCAGATTCATGACGAACCTTGTGGTTGTTATTAATAAATGGATCACCTCAGAGGTCCTTTTGACTACAGTTTGGTCCACTTTTTGGCATTTTTTATTGTTAGGAAATAGATTGACTCACCGAGCGAGTTGTGAAAACATGAAGCGAAAATGCATTTATGTGAATTGCTCCAAAAAACTAAAAAAATTGTGGAAAAATTAAATAATGTTTCTGAACCAGAAAAGGAAGAAACTGAGATTCTGGATCATCTGACTCTCAGGAGCAGGCAGCAGGAGGGATAATTTTCTGGTTCGATCCCTGAGTCGATGATCTTGTGCACGTTTCAGGAATCAGCAGAGTTGGGACCACATCTGAGGAGGCAGAGGAATCATTTCAGGGAGCCGACTGACCCGGAGCAGCAGCTGGCTGTGAGTCTGAGGTCACACGGGATTATCTGACCGTTTCCAAATCACTGATATTTCACTACCGGTGCACGTTTCAGCTCTGATCACACTTGTTACCAAATGCAGTGATCCGATTGGTCAGATCCGTTTTATTCATGTGTGAAAAATCAGAAAAATTTAACTTGACCCGAAAAATATTAATGCTGCAAATTGATCGTGTGAAATTATGCGGTTGATCTGAACGGCTGCATTAAAGCTAGATGAGCCAGAAAAAATACAGCAGTACATTTCAGTTTTTCAGAAATCCTTCAGACGGAACATGGAGCGAGCCAACTTCCTGCTAACTTCTAACTCCAGTACATCTGGTAAATTGTCATTTTCATGGATGCCTGGATATTAAACTTTATTCTAACACCTGGAGGGGAACAGCCACACTCATCGTTTTATGGAGGATAAAATACTTTTTTTTTAAACCCTCAGCGATGTCACAGGAACCAAATAATTTGGACATCCATGCAGCCAACGAACTTCAGATTTGAAAGCAGGTATCCATCTTTTATATACAGTCTATGTGTTGGGGTAGAAAATGTAAATGCCGTGTGTTGTGGTAAAGTAAGAATGATCAAAGAGGAGACACAGAATGACACATGCACATAAGTCAAAGGAAGCATGTTTCTTTTATAAAAGATTCACATATTGGTAATTAAAATAATAAAGTTCTTAATTATACCCGCTTTATCCCAAAAAAAAGTAGTTTCAGGGAAAAAACCCCCAAATCATTAAATCAAACGTTACTTTCTCTGTAAATGATGTAACCAGCTTCAGTTTCATTGGACCACATTCTGATTATTCCGCCACAAAAATCACCAAATGACACTGTTACACAGGCAGGGGACACGCTAACCGTCAACAGTGGTTCTGAAAACTAAGCTAAGCCTAATGAATAAGTTAAACCGCCCATTAATTTATAGATTTAAATGTCAACAGTGCTAATACTTACACCAAACGTTAACAGGATTTCCAATATTCAGTGTAACTTCTCCGCTTGGTGCTGTAGTTTCAGAGCTGAAGCTCATTCAGACTCTGAGCTTAAACAGGACAGGAGTACCTGTTAGAGCGTTAAACATCCCGAGGTGAAGGCGGCAGCCACTGGGCTACGTGGCAAATGTGGCTTGGAAGAATAGTTAGAAAGGCCCACCCTCTGGTTCTTTGCTCCTTTGTTACACTGGGTGACTGATGTGGCCGTGACACTAACAGGCAGTCAGACTAGTTCCTGGTGTAGACAATCAGTCGGTCCAGTTTCCCTTCACCGGGCGTGGCAGCTGGATTATATGTGCTGTTGTAGTCGCAGAAGAAAAGTAAAACACGCCCTCCTGGTTTCGTCTCCCCTTGCTTCTCCTTCTCAGCTGAGGCACTTTTGGTGTGAGACTTGTCACAGCGTTGTTATAAAATTAAAAAAAAACAAAAACCTTCCTCTGATCCAAACCTGCTTTCCTTTATGTTTTCACACTATATGTGAAAACATAAAGGCAGTCCAGTCCTCCTTTCCCTTCGTGTCTTCGTGTCAGCATGACCTCCCGCGGCTGCTGTAGTTTCAGCCGTGTGTCCTACGCCCTGCTGGGATTGGGGGAAGGCTTGCCTTCGTAGCCGTACAGGAAAGTGGCCGCGATGACTAAAACGGCCCCGAGGAAGAAAACACTGCAGGCAAGAGCAGAAAACTCGTTGAGCTCAAAGAAAGAAAAGCGAAGAGGAAAAAACAGAGAAAAAGATAGCGACTGCTTTCTTTACCTGGTTGGGTCAAAGTCCTGCAGCAAGAAGTACGATATCAGTGTTGACAGGATGATGGAGAGTGACGTAGCGAAGCCCTTGAGGATGTTGTCTGCGTACTTGATGACCGCTGCTATGACCAGACCACCCAGGGCCTGAAGAGAAAACAAACACAGAGACACAGATGGACAGAGGCATGACCTGTAGGGCCAACGGGGAGTCCGAGCCCCAGCTTTAAACAGTCTGTTAGCCCAGAAGTTCGACAATATACGCGACAGCACAGCGAGTGAAAGTTACCTGCAGTGCTACAACAGTCCAGGTGACCGTGTTGTATCCCTGAAACATTCCAGACTCCCTCACTCGCTCCCCATCATAGGCCATCATCCCGAAGAGCCCGAACACCAGGCCGAACATCCCTGAAACGCAGGGACGGAGCACTTCAGAGCGACATTCCCAACACTGCTGTTTTCTATTATTTAAGTAATACACCAAGAATATTTCCACTAAAATCAGGATTAAAATTAAGGATTAAATTCTCGTTTTTGATCGTCTTTCTTGTTCCTGCTGCTGAGGCTCTGAGGTTTAACACAGGTGAAGATGCTGTAAGCTCAGTGGGAATCGCAGGAGACTCAGCACATACTCACACGTTCCAGGATAAAAATAAACTAGACAGGAACATTCATCTAACAGAAACATATCGGAGGGTAAAAAGCCCAGCTGGCTCCCCGAGCAAAGACCCGAGGAACCGCTGCACACATGGGAGCTTCCTGGTCCATTTATCACTTTTAAGCAACAGCATCTCATATCATTGTACTTCTGGCCTCCACTTTATTTTTCATACTTTTTACTGCGCTGGACTGCGTTTCAAGAACATATACAGGCTGTATATCAGTTCACAACTGATTTGCCTGGTGATAGATACCAACCCAGCTGGATGTTGCGGACCCACACGCTCTGTTTGCTCTCTTTCAAGATCTTCTCAAAGTAGACACCAGCGAAGCCGCTGGAGAAGCACGCCACCAGCACTGCGGCGAGGCCGACGAACTGGGAGCCGGCAGACGGGGCCTCCTTCTCGGAGGCAGAGTCAGAGGGCCACTGCAAACACAAACCGGAGAGCCTTAAATTTTAACAGGTGAAAAAACTCTTTCGAGCTTTCTTCTCCCCACATGTACGATTAGGAAGTTGAATCGTAACCCAACAAACATTTCAAGGAATGATTATCCACCTCAAAATGTGGCGAAACAGTCCAAAGTGTGCTTTGTGTGTTTTGAGTTCCTGCAGCACAGCAACTTTTAGGTTTTCGTTTTTAAAAGACTGACAGGCGAGCGTCAGAGATGCTCAGAGGCCAATTTGACAGAACCAGACCAGATCTCACAACCAGCTCTCTGGCTCTAAACGTGAGTCACTCCCTACAAGCTGCCGTGAGAAACGTCCGTCTTGGAAGCAGAAACAAGCTTCTTTATTTGTTCAATACTGAAGTACACTTTACCCAGGTTCACCTGTTTAAAGGTCACAGTTACTTTGACTAGCAGGTGGGTCCTAAAACAGGCAGGCACAGCTATCAGTGAACTGGAGTCACTGTGTTTTTTGGAGCATTTCTGATGCAGTTACGTTAAAAATAATGGGACCTGCTGCTCGAAAAGCATTGTTTACTTTACAGCTGAGGAGCAGGTATCGGCGCCTGTGTATTACACACACAGTCTATGATACTGGCTCATGACTTACACCTCTCATCCGCATTCAGTCACCCAAGCTTCCAAACAGGAGCCAATGGGTAACACCGCTATGGCCTCCTCCATCATTTAGATACAGTGTATGATAACTGCGTGGAGCAGACTTCTCTTCTCTTGTACATCTCCTGCTGAATAAAAGTACATGCTGCAAAAATAATCAGTGCTACACAATCCAGTGTGTCACAGGGTTCGACGTGATGATGTTCAGAGAAAACAAACAAACCTGGGCTGTGTATTTTACATCCAATGAAACATCCAGCGGATACAACGTGCGCGTTCCAGAGAAACTCGTATGTACTTAGTAAACTGGAACTTTGTGTAATGATTATCATTCACAGTGAAGTCTCACTGAATCCCTCATGCCGGGTACCTAATATTCAGACACGGCATCGTCGCAGCTTTGCTGCGTTGTGAAAAAGCTGCAGAGCGAGACTTCTTGTGCGATGTGCTGCAGTAAGCAGGAAAACACAGGCATTAATGCACAAAAAAGATGATGCTGAGCTTTGAATGTGCAGAGGAAGAAATCTCACACTTTCATCTTTGGATAAATAAAGAATCAGGACAAAGTGAAGCTATTGTTTGGTATATTCCTCCAACATCAGCACCATCAGCTCCGCAACAAAGCTCGCTGGGTGAAAAGTAACAGCTTGGAAACGAGCAGCGAAACAGAAGCGGGGTTTCTCTGCAGACTCTGTTTTCTGTGTGCTTGTAGGGTCTGAGATGGAAACAGAACAGTTGCTCTTTAGCATCATATCTGACGTGAGTGCGAGCCTTCGCGGAGTGCCGCTGATAAGCCACGGTCACTCCTGCACGTACCTTGGACAAACTGAGATCCGTTCGCGGCTAAACATTTCTCAGAATAAGTGTAAAGCCGACTGATTGCCATTTTCTTTGTTTAGCCGAGGAGGAGGAGGTGATATGAAAACAGTCATTCCTCCTCTGACACATCATTCATCAGCAGCCAACATTTACTCAGTCTTCTAGTACAAGCCTCATTATTTATTTGGCCTTTAAATATCAGAACAAATAAAAAAAACAGCACACTCAGTGAGTAAATGCTCAGGAGACAAAGAGGACTAAAGTGTCAGCTGCGTGCACACACTGCTTTTTTCCAGTCTCTCTCTGAGCTCAGTGAACATAAGTAAAGTAGCTCACTGTGATTTGAATACACAAATCCATTTTACTTCCTGAATGTCTTTTTGTCAGCCTCAAAACATCTCTGAGCTCGCCTCCTTCAGCCTTAGAGGTGCATTTTCATTCCTGCGTTTTATATCTGACTATCTCTAAACATTTAGCTTTTTTAAGAGAGCAAATAAAAGATGCAACGATCAGCTGATTGTCTCAAGAAATGGTGAAAAAGTGATTCGAGATGCACGGCACCTGCACGAGGGCCACGCCAGCCATGAGAATCAGCAGCGAGAGCCACTGGTACACGCCCAGCCTGCGGCCCAGCATGGACACCGAGAACAGGGCCGTGGTCAGGATCTTCAGCTGGTACGTCACCTGATGGAGACAAAGGAGCAAGCGATCAATCCTCCGGTCGTCACGGCGGTCACGAGGCCCGCAGATTAACCTGCCGTGCTGCTTACCTGGTAGGTGGCTGCGTCCAGGTTGGAGAGGGCGACATACAGCAGGTTGTTCTGCAGTGTGTAGATCCCCGAGGGGATCGCCAGCTTCAGTGTTTCTACGGGTTTGTGAATGATTTCCTGACGGAGGACGCTGTTGAGAGCGCGCATGCTGTAACCTGCAGCGTGGACAGAAGACACAAACCACACGTATAGATGATAAATTCTAACCAAGCTTGGAGCTTTAGAGTGAAATTAAAGTACGCAAAGATGACTGAGCGCTTCGGTGCCTCTTGAGGATTCCCCGTCACCGTTTTTAATATTCAGAAAGTAAAAAGAGAAGTGGTCTCTCTGGCCCAAGCTGTGGCCCGTCGCAAGAAACACATCGCCTGACGGGCTCCTGTTAGTCCAGGCTCAGAAATCCAACTTTACAGCCAGAGCCAGGAACTTGGATTTTAAATAAAACAACCAAGATATGATTGCAGTGCCGACTTTTAGCTTTAAAGTCACAGCCATCACCAAATCCTGCGTCTCCTTCCTTGAGATGTTCCGTGAGCCCGGCACGGCAGCCATCTTTACTTTCTTCTGCCTCCAGTTTAGTGTTTAATAGCTGAAAAGCTTGAAGTGACATCAGCTGACTGCCCTGGCGGTTGAAGACCATCACATTTCTTTGCTGTGAGAACCTCTCGAGCTGCTTTTGCAGCATACTCAGGCTCTTAAGACAGTTTTGTTTTGCAGCATTTGGCTGAATCTGAATTCATCCTGCTGCTTCCATCAGCAGTCACATCATCAATAAGTGTGACTGGGCTGGTTCCGGTGACTAAGACCCGGACGTACGCGCCCAGGTCGCAATGCCGCTTCCACTGCGGTTGACAGACAATGTGCTATTTGTTCAGATCACGAGTCGTTTTTCTCCTCCTCCATATTTTTCTCTTCCTGTCATTCAAGTTCAAGTTAATGAACGTCTGTTTCCTGAGCACATGTTAATAATTAATGTTAATGATAATAATTCAATAACAGAACCGGGTAAGTGCCTCAGACTTTTACTGGTCACTGAAAAAGAAAAAAGAAAAAAGAAAAAAAATCACAAAAACAACAATGAAATACTTTGAGGGAACACGCCTCACCTGGCAATGAAACAGTTTCAGGCAGTCATCCAATTACTTCTGTTCTGAGCCTCTGAAAACAGAGACTGTGTCTAAAAACATCTGTATTTGCTGATCAGTGAATGAAGTACTTTTCAGTTTTCAGAAAAAGAAAAAAAAAAGACTGCTATTATCCAAAAACGAATTCGGAGCCTCACTGATCTAGAAAACCCACCAACTGTAGTTTCAGCACGACAGGAACAGTCCACCAAACCTGACTGCAAATCCTCAGGCTGCACGCACACTGACACATTTCCAATTTAAAGCAGGACTCTCAGTTTCAGTCGTGTTAAAAAGATTCTGTCTGAAATAAGAGGCCTACAAACGAGTATTACGTGACCATCTGTGCACACGAGATGTTTGTAACTCTGCAAACAGACAAAGATCAACAGCAAGTGTGAGGCAGTCATGACAGACACAAACCCAGACACATAGCAAATACGGCACCGGAGCGAAGCAAGGCACAGGGAAACGGAGACCCACGGGTGGAAGATAAAATAACAACCACGACAGCCCAGCTAGAGGGTTGTTTTTTGTTTTGTTTTGTTTTTTTGGACTGATGATATCCAATCAGGAAGCTCACATGGACATGTGAATCCCTGTTTTCTGTATTTTTAGTGAAAGTTCTCAGAATTCATCCTGATTACCTCAGAAACAGAACCTCTCAGCTAATCGGGAAAAAATGACCTCCGATGAAGCAAACATCAGTAAACTCTGAACAGATGAAGTTGAAACACAGAACTGAAGCTGAAATAAGATAAAATCACTTTAGTCACAAGCATTCACAGTGCTGGTCTTGGATCACTGGATCAGTTTGAACTGCCTTCCTGCTGCAGGAGCTGCTCAGCCACAGGCATATTTAAGAAGCCAGACTTCAGACGGCACCGTGATGGTTCCTGCTCACATCCAGCTGGATTTGTTTGAGCATTTATAACACTTCACTGTGGCCTAAAGTTTATCACACATGACAGGACCGGTGCCGGTACCGGGAGCTGTTTACACGGACTCACTGTGCTCCTTGAAGACCAGCAGGACGCAGGTGAGGATCTTCATGACCTCGGCCACCACCACCGCTGACGAGGCCAGGTACCGCGGGCCCTCGGCCTGCAGGGTGCGGGAGTAACGCATGGTGAGCACCAGGGAGGTGGTCTGGAACACCAGCACACCCAGAGAGAGGTACTTGAGCCGGGGAGAAGCCATGGCCACGTTTCGGCGAGCAGCTGGAGACTGAAGATGAGCAGAGGAGAACAGAGCCGGGGGGTGCAAGAACAGGAGCAGGTGTTTTACTCCGAGGCGGTGGGAAATGCCGACGGTTGGTCTCACCTTTCGGTTCGCTCACCAGTAACTTCGCAGACGCTCAGTTCGGTCTTGCGCTGTCCGCTCTCTGCGGCTCCTCACACGGACAGATGGACACGGTGCTGGCGGATCACCACAGCTGTCAAAACAGCAGCTCAGGTCCTGGCGTCCATTGACCCGCACCGGATATCAACCGCCCGTTAACTTTTCAGCACGCTCACACCGACCAATGCATCACGACCCGCCATCCCGCTTAAAGCATCCACCAGAAGAAAGTGTAAATTGCACGGAGAGTCTCCACGGGGAAGAAAACTCCAGCCAGGTGAAGATAAGATCCCGGACGACTTCCGCGTTAGCAACTCTTCTTCGTGTTCTCGTCGTTTTTGGGTTCGTGTGAGACTCTGCCTCCTGCTGGGCTGACACGGAACAGCACCTCGGCAGGATAAACGGGAGAAAACTCCAAACAGAAAATATCTGACTCTTTTATTATTATTATTATTTTACATTTAAACGATTTGCATTTTCAGTAAAGGTTTTAAACTTCTGAAGTTAATGGGATGGAACATTTTTCTCAAGGTCTGATCATTTATAGTGCATTTCAGGGTCACGGAGGGGGGCTGGAGCCTATCCTAGCTGCCATAGGGTGAGAGGCCAGGTACATCCTGGACAGGCTACCAATGAAATAAACTACAGTATATACATAGAAACACACTGAGGCATGTAATATAATTTAATCTGTCTCCTTGGAAGGATTCTTACATTAGTAGGAAGCAAAAAGACTTCTGACAGTATTGTATCTCCTGGACGAGATTTGGTGCGTGTCTGTGTGTTTAAGTGTGGTAGGGTATGAGTTA